ACAATATTCATTGATTTGTAATTATGCAAATGTTATCACACAAGCCAAAGAGATCACGCATCACGAATCGAACAAAAGAACAAAAGAAAAAGATTCCAAATGTTTTTTGTTTTTTGTGAAAATCATCATTCTGGAATCATTTAAAGATAACGAATCGATAATTAATTTCGATTTCATTCGAAAAAATGTTCTTAATCATCATCATCATGATAATTGAAAACAATTACAAAAGTCAACAACGACAACATTCGAAATTCCGATATGAATCCGAAAATGATCATTTCATTGATGATTATCATTTTCAAAAATGTCCAGTAGAACCAAAAAAAAAAATGACAACGACAAACTTGAATTGTTTCCATTTTTGTAATTAGATTGCTTTTCGGCTTTCGACAAACAAAAACGAAAAAAAAACATTCCAATGTCATCACTGTGAACCAACAACAAAAAAAACGATGTCATCCCATTTCCAGAATTCAATCTAATTTGATTTATTCTCTCAATCTCTTTCGTTGGCTTTCTCGCTCTCTCCACATAATTCGATTATTCAATGATGATGATATGGGCGAAATGAATGAAAAAGATTCGGGTCAAAATTCATTTTTTTTACTGAAATCGTAAGTTTTTGTTTTGTTTTTTTTCGGCCAAAAAAAATGAAAGTTTTTTTTTCACGAAACAGATTTCTTCATTTTTTTTATTTCTTTGATTTTCAGAATCCGAAAAAAGAAAAGATTTTCGAAATTTTGCAGCATCCTATAGAAGAGGAAAGGAAAAAAAGTCATTTATTGAAATTTTCTTTTTTTTTTTGCCAAAAAAACATTTGATCAACTTAGTCCGTTTGGAACATCATCATCATCAACGTTATATAATGATCATCATCAAGAATCACAGATCGATATTTTGAGTTTCAATGTTGGCTTCTGCAACTAAATGACATTGTATTATTCTGGCCGTACAGTAATCATTACCATCATTGCCAAATCCAATGAAATTGGTTTAATTGATTAATTTTCGTTTCTTTTGGTCGATAAATAACAAAAAAAAAACGGAAAATATTGATGCTCAACCAACCAACTATTTCGACCCAAATCTACACATTTAAGTTAATTTTGTTTCAAGATGTTCGATTTTTTTTGGCTGAATTTTCAAAAATTCTGAATATCAACTTGTTTTCAACAACAACAACAACAACAAAAGAAAACATTTGACACTTTTTTTTATTTAAAGTTTGAAAAAAAAAATTCAAAAATAGAACCTCAAGCCATATCAACAATGTGAATGTGGACAGGGACAAGAAAAAAAAATCTGTTCAGAATAAATCGAAATCAAGAAGAAAAAGAATTGAACATTCATCTGAAATCTTCTAAAAAGAAAATATAAATGTTTAGTTCATTTTTCTTTGATCTTTTTTTTCTGTTCAACAACAAAAATCAAACACTTTTCTTGTAAAACGAACAAAAAAAAAATCGTCCGCCTGTCAAGAATCAAAACGACGAAATCGAAACCATACAAACGAAGCAACCAAACGAACAAAAAAAAATCGATTTAATTTATCGGAAATATATCATTGATGAACAACAACAATGGCGGCATAAAGAAAAAAAATCTTCATTTCGTTTGTATGAAAATCATCATCATCATCACTGAAAATATAAACTATTTTCTCCATTGTTTGTTGATGCCGGAACTGTAAAGTTTGCTACAAACATAACAGCAGAATATTCTTCTACTGATCAATCGAAGTATTGTTGATTTACTTTCACTGGTTTTATTTTATACACTGTGTGTGTGTGGCAGTTGTCGATTTCAGTTTCGATTTTTTATGCCTTATGTCGTTTTGTTGTTGTTAATCGTTTGTTGTTGTTGTTGTTAAAGCCATTTTTAGATGATGATTTTCATTTTCCCCGATTTTTAACCATTTGGCGTATTTATGGAAACAGTACAAGTAACAAAAAAACAGAATAACAAGCTGTTTGTGTATTTACAAGTAACAAACAAAAAAAATATTCTCTTTTTTTCTGTGTTTTTTGTTTGTATCAATTATTTGCTTGTTTCGACAATTGTAAGAATCTTTTCAGACATAAATTTTCTTGAAAATTTTTCTCCCTCCCCCTTAAAGATCAACGAAGAAATGTTTCCGACATTCTTTTTTTTCTATTCCCCCAATGTTTTCTGGAAACATTTTTTCTACATTGGATATTGTTTTTTTTTTTGTCATCATCATTATCATTTGGAATAAATAATGAATTTCAGAAATTTTTTTACAGCATTCAATTCTTGATTCTCGACACGAATCAAAACACACACACATATGAAATAAATCGTTTCTTGCTTGCTTCCTGAATACAAAAAAAAATATTGATTTTGAACTTTAAACTTTTTTTTTTGTTTTGGTTGTTAAAACGGAAAAACGAATGGATGGAACATCCTAAATCTTGTTTTTTGTTTTTGGTTTTGGGTTCAGTTTTCTTTGTCTGATTCGTATCCAAATGATGATCATAATGCAATGTTTCAAATACATCAATCAAATAAACATTAACCATTTGAATGTTATCACATAACTGGATGGCTTTTTGTTTCTTTCTTGACTTTCTTCCATTAACAAGGATGCGATTTTTGTTTTTTGTTTTTTTTTTGAAAAAATTCTTTGATTGCAAATTTGCTGAAATTGCAACCAAAGAATTTTTTGCTCGAATAATCATTATTTGTGGAAATCTTTCCAGAAAAAAAATTGCCTCAATAAATTGAAATTGACCACACAGAAACTTTCCGTAAATAAAAACTTTTTAACTTAATCAATCAATCAAAAAAATTTGTTCAGGAAGTTTACCACTACTACTTCACCACTTTAACTTAATCAATCATTCGCCTATTTTGACATTCATTTGGTCAATTCGATTCAATTCAATCATCAGCATCATTATATCTGTCAAAATAGCCGAAAAAAATGAATATTCTCTTCTTTTTTTTTTCAGGGGAAAAAATCCAAAAGTTTAAGTGCCTTTAAAAAAACAAAAAAAAAGATGTTTTATATTTAACACTTTAACACTTTGCCAACAAAATAAATGGCATTGAGAAATTAAATTCAAATTTTCAACCAAAGAAAATTCAACGAACCATATTCAACCGGAAAACAAAAATGGATTTTTTCGTGTTTTTTGTGTTTTGACAAATTCAAAAAACTTTTTTTTTAGTTTTTTAAGTTTTTTCTAATTGAAAATTTAATGAATGATGATCATCATCATTACCAGCAATGACACAAGTCGGAATTTTTCCCGAAATAAAATTTATGGAAAGATTTTCTAGGATGATGATGACAACAACAACAACAATGATAATGTCTTAATGTTTGATTCTTTTTTCTTGTTTTTGGAAGTAAAAAAAAAATGGAAATCATCTTGGTTTGTCTGGAAGAGAGGATCGACGACATGACAAAATACAAGTCGATTCGATTTGTTGTTTTCCTTTTTTTTTATTTCGGGATGCAACGATGATGATGATGATGATGATGATGATGATCACATCAATCATTTCGGGGTTATTTTTATTGGCGAAAAAAAATGTTCGGCAAGAGAGAGAGAGAGAGAGAGAGAGAGAGAGCGCGATGAGAGAGAAAAAGAAATGCAAAAAACGACCCAGAAAACAAGAATCTTTTTTCAAACAAGAATCGTTGTCGATTTCTTCGTTTTTTTTTACGATTTATTCAATGATAATGTTATTATTGATTTACAACAACAACAACAACAACAGAATTCAATCCATCAGCTATTTTTATTCTGGTTACATCTTCATCGACAAAATTGATGCATAAAACAGCCCAGGCCAAAACACATGTATCATTCTGTTTACTCGGGGAACAAGAAATTCGTGTGTGTGGGTGGGTGGATATAGGCGTCATTACATCGTTTGAAGAAGAAAACAATACGCATCATTATTTGCGCATCTTATATTTTGATTGGTTGTTTTTTTTTACCATCAACAAAACAATCGTGATTGTATCGATAGTATAATCGAATCGAATATGAGCCGGAAAAACAAAAAAAAATTTGTTTTAATCGAAATCAATTTTGATCTTTTGATTTTCTGATTTGAAAGATAATCATCATCAATTTGAGACAATTTTTTATTGTGGTGGTCCGATTCTGGAAATACCAGAATTTGGCAGAAATTCTTTTCTTCAACAACGACGATGATGAGTGCAATTCATTCAACTTATTTTCGCTTCGTTTCATCATTCGTTTGCTGTTGTTCATCGTCATTCGGCTTTAAAATCATCAATGATCATTGTTGTTGTTGTTGTTGTTGGCGGCGTCAATCTTTTTTTTCATTATTTTCATTCCACAAATGAACAATCAAATTGAGAAAATGTAAAAAAATCATCATCATCATTTTGGGCTTTCATTTTCATTTATTCTTGGTCATTTGTCAGTCGTCGTTTCATTTTTTTTGTTCATCTCTTCGATTCTCTAAAAAGAATCTCAGCCAAATTCAGAAAAAGAATTCAGTTTTTTTTGTTTGTAACGAATTACAAGAATCACAAACAGCAGCGACATTTTTTCTCATTCAAGTCACCAGCGATAATGTTGGATAATAAATTATGAAATTTTTTTTTTGTTTTTTTCAACAAACGATCGAGTGACATTAGTTTCAGTGTAGCATCATTTTGTTGTTGTTTTGGGTCAAATTCATCATTCATTGAACCGAAATTGATTCACCATCCGAACATCACCCAGTGTGTGTGTTGATGACAAATTTTTTTTGAAAAATTCCGATAAAAAATTGAAAATTTGAAAATTGAATTTTTCAACCAACAAACCAGAGCAAAGATGCGAAGCAGTTCATCTCGTTTAAATTTTCAACGACAACAATTATCACCATCACCATCATCGAATGAACAACAAAATGGTGGTGGTGGTGGTGAATCAAATTATAATCAACGACAACAACGATTAAATAATAATGTCGGTGGTGGTGGTGGTGAAATGGAAAAATTTTTAGCTATGCAAATATTGCAGGCAATTTTATTTACAACAAGGTTTGTTTTTTTCCGGGAAAATTCCAAACAGCAAAAACAACAACAACCAAAAAGTCAATCAATCTTTATTGACAGTTTGTTTTTTAATTAATTAATCATTTTGTTTTTAACTTTTTTTAAAAAATTTCTCATTTTTTTTCTCTCCCTCCCAAAAAACAGAACAATATTCCTAATCTATGATCTTTTACATGCAATCATCAATAAAGTAATACTATATGATCGTTTAGGACGTTTGTTTGGTTCATCATCATCAACAACATTATCGGAAAAAATCTATACAATTAGTTTGTTTATGATTGCAATGTTTCTCATTTTGATGATTGTTTTTACATTTGTTTATAATTATCTATTGGTACATGAAAATTTCCCCGGTATTACTGTTATGGTTATATTTTTATTTGGAATTTTCCTATATAATTTATTTACATTTGGACAATATTCATCAACATCATCGGAATCATTGATAATTTGTTCAGCATCAGCTTTTGAAATTATTGGCCTAATTTATCTGTTAACATTAATAAGACATAAACAATTTGTACGTTTAGAAAAACAAATGGAACAACAAAGACGTTTATCACAAATGTTTGATATGCGTCGACGAAAACATGGTCGTCATCAACATTTAAAAACACCACAATCACCTTGTGGATCACCAGGTTCACAAATGATGTTACCACATCAAAGACGTTATGCTGGACAACAACAACAACAACAATTATCACCAATGGTAACAACAAGTCCACCATCAATTATTATATCCGGAACTGATGATGATAATGATAATGATAATGAGAGTGGTAAAAGTGTTGATGATAATCATGAAGATTATCAAAGTCAAAACGATTTAAATCAATTAAAAATTGATGAAAAACCGGAAGCAGAACAGCAGCATCGTTCAAAGATTAAAGATGATAACAGCAGCAAACAATTCGGTAGTTTATTAAGTGTTGTTGAACAATTTACTGATGATTTACATCAGCATAATCATCATCATGGTCGACGTCGACGACGAAGACGACATCGTTCACGTGAATTATCACCGGATATTGATCGTAATGATCATCAATTGCGTCGACGTAAATCGAATGATGATTCAACATTCGATTTTGAACGTAAAGATTCTGAATCATCATCAATTGATCATTCGAATAAACATTTGAATCGAAAAAATTTATTGAATGTACCTGGTGTTGATTCGAATAATAATAATAATGAATCCGATGGATCCGATGATGATGATAAAACATTGAAACATCAACATAAACTTCGACAGCAACCTCGACATCATCAACGTAAACATCAAAGTTCAGAATCATTGATGACAAAACATAATGACAATGATCATCATTATGGTCATCATAATTTTGCCATTTCGGATTCAAATTTATATCAACAACATGGACAACGACAACCATATTATCAACAACAACAACAACAACAAAATGATAAAGTTGGACAATTTTATTATCCGAATCATCAAACGAATTATCAAGAATCTTATCCAGATTTTTATCATAGCCATCATCATCATCATCAAAATGATTATTATTATCATCAATGAATGAATGAATCCTGTAATTAGATTTTGGTTTGTTTGTTTTTCGGTTGAAACAAAAAAAATTCCCAATTGAAATTCCCATTCAAGATTAAATGATGATGATTGTGATGATGATCTGATTTTGTTCGGAATTCGAAGAAAAAACAATCAATCAATCAATCGATTCGATCGAACAGCTTTTTTTCCAACCAAAAAAAAAACATTTTTTGGTTATTTTTAAAGAAAATTAACCAAAAAAAAAGAAGAACATCCAACTCAAACGATTATTCAAAACAATAATCTTTGACCGAAATGATGATGATGATGATAAACAGAAACTAAAAATCTTTAAATGATTTTTTCTTTCGGTTTTTTAAAAACCGACCATCATTCTATTCATCATTTAAATCTTTGAAGAAGAAAAAACGATTTTCCAGCAGAAAAAAATGCAAAAAAAAGAAAGAAGAAAATCTCATTTGTTTTGAATGATTTTTTTTTGTTGTTGTTTGCCGTCCATTTTGTTCATCATCATCATCATTGATAAATGCGTGTGTGTGTGTGTTGTTGAATAACCGAACAAAATCCGAATATGGCCATCCACAATAATAATAACCGAATGAAATGATGATTATGATTAGGATGATGAAGGTCTTCAGGTCATGTTGTCAATGTTTTTTTTTCTCGCTTCTCTCATCTTTTTTTTCTGGTTTAAATTCCCGAATCGAATCTGAATCTCCACCTCCGTTGATGTTTAACGACCAGGAGAGAGACAAATGAATTACCGACAGACCGACGGGAAAAGAAATAATAATAAAAAAATTCACCGTTTCTCACTTTGAAAAACCACCTGCTGCTGATGATAATGATGATGACCGGGAATGTTTTTACATTCGGATATTTTTTTGTCTGGAAAACATACACACATTTTTCCATCAATTTTCAATTCCCGTGTATAAAAATCGGTTATTTTTTGAAAAAAAAAACATCGAAAATAAAAGAATTTCAATGTCAACCAGAAAAAAGTTTGTAAAAAAACTGCTACATTTTTCTAAAAAAAAATCATCAAAAAATCATCATTTTGATCGATCAATCAATCAATCGATATGTTTCGTGATTTTATCATCAATTTTTGAATTTATTTTGTTGTTGAAATGAAATTTCTTTAAATTTTGTTAACATTTAAATTTCATTATGTTCAAAATGATCGACAACAAAATGTTATGTAATTCAGCCGGTTTTTTTGCTGAATGGCAAAAATTAGTTCAAAACATTCAATTCAACCCAATGATAAAAATAACAAAATTTCATCATTTCATTTCCTGAAAATTGAATTGAAGCCAATTTTTTCTACTCTTCGTCTTGTTTGTTTGTTTGTTTGTTTTTCTTTGTTCTGTGATTTACTCGGGAAAAAAAACAAGTAGCAAAATCAAGCTAGAAAGAAAACTAGAAATTCTTCTTACAAATTGACGACAAAAATATCAATTCAAATGTTGATGATGACATTGACAATAACAACAATGACAAGTGAAGAAAAATTGATAGAGAGAGAAAAACATTTGTTCGTCAATTCAACCACCATTGTCATATTTCCCGATCGAATCAATCAAATCAAATCAATGATTTTCACATCGAATTGAACGACTAACAAACACAGAAGCCAACACCATTATCAAAAACCTCAAAAGAACAAAACTCGAACCGAAATACATTTGTGATAACACAGCAAACAACCCGATCAAAAACCACGAAACAACAATCTTTAATTACTTTGCCATTTTTTTCCTTTTTTTGTGATTTATGCATTTTGTTGTTTTTTGATATTGTTTTCGTTGTGTGGTGATATATGATATATGCGTGATTTTTTGTCGTGGTTGTTGTTGTTGTTGAAAACTACCTATACCAATTTCGGTTGTTTGGTTGTTATCGTGTTTTAACCACAAAAACAAAAACAACAAATCAAATCAGCAAAGGAGAAAAATATGTTACCGAACATGACATGATGTTATTCATCATCAACATCATCGTAGTACCTTGATTGATTGATTGATTGATTAATTCGGAAACAGAGATTTTTTGTTTCTGATCAAAACGACAGAAACCAGAAAAAAAAATCAAACGACAAACCTAAATGTTGATAATCAACATTGATATATATATTCTATATGATAATGAAGATATTTGCGTGATATTTTAACCTGTAATGTTTGCCTTATTTGTTGTGTGTGTGTTTATGCAAATACTGTTGTTTGAAATGAGATTGTTTTTTTCTACCTTTTTTTTTGATAATTTGGATTCGTGATTGGCAGGTTGTTTATTGACAAGTTCTTTTTCTGTGCTGTGTTCTACATTTTCATTTTTGGCCGCCGTCCATTAAGTTCAATCCATCTGTGAATTTAAATTGTGTAATCTTTGCAAAACAAAACAGAAGTTTGCATCATTAAAAAATAGTGGGTTTTATCACAGTTTGTGTGGATGTTTTGATCATCACGATCCATGAACTGATCGTAGGTGTTTTTTCTTCTCTTCGTAACTGTTTCTTCATTGTGTTTTTTTTTGGAAAAAATGTTTTGAAAATCCAAAAAACAACAACAATACAATCATGCGTTTAACAATCAAATTGATCGTTAAATTTGGTTTAATAGCCGAAATAATAACAGCTATTATTGGTTTGATTGGTGAATATTCATTACGATATCCGGCATATCAAATGGCAATGGATGAATTATTTGGCGTTTGGTCAAATTCGGAATCATCCGAATCAATGAAAAAATTTCATCAACATTTAGATTGGCCATCAAATCATCAACATTATGATCATCAAACGGGTGAAAGTTATAAATTATCACAATTAAATGAATTAGCAAGAGTTAATCATTACCATGATGATGATGATAATTTTAACGACAATCCACAACAACAACAAAATCGAACATTTTTATCAAAATTTTTTTCACGAATATCAACATGGCTATTTCCACATCAAAGTTCATCATCATCATCATCGAATTCTATTTTTACTCATAGTGCAAAAGATTCGAAATTGGATCGAAATTTTCAAAATTTACAACAACAAGATTATTCATTTGATCCAAGACCATTATTCATTTTATCCATATTGATTATATTGAATTTCGTATTTATTTTTGCTATAATATTTGAATTATTAACATTAATCGGTCTAATGTCAATGTCATGGATATTATATCTAATTTTATTATTTGTTGTTGTACATGTTATGAATGATAATGATAATAATTCAATAATTGATCAATCATCATCATCATCGATGACAAAATTATTATGGACATCAATATTACCATCACCATTTATAATATTGGTTGTTGTTATAATCTTATTGTTTACCTTTATATTAATTGCATTGATTACTGAAGAACGGCGACAATTTGCACAAAGAATACGTGCACGTTCAGCTTGTATACCATTAGTTAAATCACGGGATATGGATTTGGATGATATTTGATAAATCAACAGAGTTTGATTCGATTTTCTCTCTTTCTCTCTCACCCGTTTGTAATTTATTTTTATCCCGAAAAAAATCAATCAAAACAAATCAAAAAAATCGATGATAAAAATCTGGCAAATGGATCTAAAAATAATCAACCTTTTTTTTGAATTTGATTTAACGATGGCCATGATCATGATCATAATGATCATCTTGATCGTGATGATCATCATCGACGACCTCATCATCCTCATGATGGTAAAAAATTTCCCAATTTTTTTCAATATTAAGAAGAAAATGATGATAATAACAATGTATAGCAATATTAACGGTAATTTTTTTTAACGTTTTTTATTTGTATTTGAAAGAAAACTCATAAAGTTCATCATTAAAAACATTAAAAATTTTTTGTATAAAATCCAGAGATTGTTGAATTAAAGATGTTTTAACCTACTCTCTTTTGCGCTATGTAATACCTTCTGTATACAACGATAATAAATTTCTGTTTTTGTTCAATGAAATCATAAAACATTTTTTTTTCTTCTCGGAATCAATTTTTCTGTGTTTATTCTATGTTTTATTTCGGTTTTTTGGAGGGAAACTTAAAGGGAAAAGATGAATTATTTTAAAGTTTTTTCGAAAATTGAAAATAATTTCAATTTCTTGAGAACCTCTTCAAACATGGGATATTTTCAGTGGTTAAAAAATCAATCATGAATCAAATGAGAAAAAGTCAATGATCGATTTGAGTGATTTGATTTGATTTATTGATCGAATGAAACAAAATCCTTTAAAAATCCCCTTTGAAAAACCAAAAAAAACAAACGATAAAGACATATTATCATCATCGAAATTATGGTAGCAACAGGTTGCAAATTCAACAATAATAACTTATTTATCATTCATTTTGTAATTGTCTTGTCTTGTCGTTTATCATTATAAAGATGTTTTCTTTTACTGATCTTNTTATGAATGATAATGATAATAGCTCATTAATAACAACAATCGATAAATCAATTATTGATCAATCATCATCATCATCATCATCGATGACAAAATTATTATGGACATCAATATTACCATCACCATTTATAATATTGGTTGTTGTTATAATTCTATTGTTTACCTTTATATTAATTGCATTAATTACTGAAGAACGGCGACAATTTGCACAAAGAATACGTGCACGTTCTGCTTGTATACCATTAGTTAAATCACGGGATATGGATTTGGATGATATTTGATAATCAACAGACAAAAAGCAAGTTTCGATTTTCTCTTTTCCGTTAGTAATTTATTTTTATCCCGAAAAAATCAATCGAATCAAATCAAATCAAAAAAAAAAAAATCGATGATAAAAATCTGGCAATTGCATGGATCTAAAAATAATCAACCTTTTTTTTTGAATTTGATTTAACGATGGCCATGATCATGATAATGATCATCCACAATCGTGATGATCATCATCGACGACCGACCTCATCATCCTCTTATAAATGATGGTAAAAATTTCCCAATTTTTTTTCAATATTAAACCCAAAGAAAATGATGGATAATAATAACAATGTATAGCAATATTAACGGTAATTTTTTTTAACGTTTTTTATTTTTATTTTTTTGAAAAAAAACTCATAAAGTTCATCATTAAATTTTTTTTTTTTTTTTTTGTATTCAAGATTGTCTGTTGAATAAAGATGTTTTAACCTACTCTCTTTATGTAATACCTTCTGTATACAACGATAATAAATTTCTGTTTGTTTTTTTCAATGAAATCATAAAACATTTTTTTTTATTAATTTCGGGATCAAAAATTTTTAAGAAACTCTTCAAACAGGGGATATTTTCAACGATGAAAAAAAATCAATCATGAATCGAATGAGAAAAAGTCAATGATCGATTTGAGTGATTTGATTTATTGATTTGAAACAAAATCTTTAAAATCTTTTCTTCGTTTTTAATTTCCTTTTTTTCAACCGAAAACAATCGATATTAATTTTTCTTTGGATAAATTTCCCTCATTGTTGAAAACAAAACAAACGATAAAGACATATTATCATCATCGAAATTATGGTAGCAACAGGTTGCAAGTTTACAATAATAACTTATTTATCATTCATTTTGTAATTGTCTTGTCGTTTATCATTATAAAGATGTTTTCTTTGGCTTTTCATTTTGTGACAGGTAATATATATCAATTGATATCAATGTCAATTTTACAATTTTAATGGAAAATTTTTCTTCCTTTCTTTCTTTCATCGATTGAAATTTCTATAGAAAATTGAATTGTTTGGCTGCTTTTGAATCTATCCTATTATCCAATGATTGACTGACTGACTGACTTTTCAATTCTCTCTTTCAACAACAAAAGAATTTTTTGGGCACAAAAAAATTGATTTTTGTTGTTGTTGTTTGCATAAACAAATCATAAATTATAATGTTTAAATCGTCGTCAATTTTTCATTCATTCATTGCCTCATGCCATTTAAACCAGATAGAATAATCAATCAGGAAAATAATAATGAAAAACATTCAAATATCATGGTGGTCTTTTTTTCTGTTGTTTTCTTTGTAACTTTTTTCTTTGAGAAATAAAGGAGAAAAAACTTGACCAAAAAACCAATGCAATTTGTGCCAATAATGCAACCCTTCGATTCTAAATGAAAATGGAAAAATTCCAACCCTGTCAATACAACCAAAACATCTGTCATTTATTTATAGATTGTAATCCTTTTTTTTGGGAAAAAGAAATGAAAAACTTGAAGCTTGAAATCTTATCGCCTTCTATGCAATGTGTGTTTTGGACGATCAAAAACACATTTTTTTCTGGAAAAAGTTTTTCAAAAACAACAAAAATTTCTGTCACTTTTAAGCAAAAAAGAATTTATTTTTTATTTTTTTGGAAAATTTTTCCAATATGATAAAAACGGATAAAAGAATCCAATAAAGATGTTTAAAAAAACCTTTTAAGAAAAGATTATAGCCAACACCATCACCCATCACCCATCATTATCATAATTCGCAATCAAAATTCATGAAAATTCACAAAAATCTCCCTGACATTTCTCTCTCTCTCTCTCTCTCTCTCTCTCTCTCTCTCTCTCTTTGACTGATCAAGATTTGATGATAATAATGATAATGAGGGTTAATTGAAAGAAAAAAAATAACAAATTGGAAATCCAGCAATATTGAAAAGTGCAAAATTGCAAACACAACATAAATCAGAATTTTGTTTATCCTGTCAAATCAGAAAAATCAAAAAAAAAAAAAAAAAANCTCTCTCTCTCTCTCTCTCTCTCTCTCTCTCTCTCTCTCTCTCTTTGACTGATCAAGATTTGATGATAATGATAATGAGGGTTAATTGAAAGAAAAAATAACAAATTGGAAATCCAGCATACGAGAAATATTGAAAAGTGCTAAATTGCAAAACACACACAACATAAATCAGAATTTTGTTTATCCTGTCAAATCAAGAAAAATCAAAAAGAAATCTTTATTGCAAAAATAACAACAACAAAAAAAATCATAATTTTAATGAATTTCGTTTCTTTTCCATCTTTCTTTCGCTCACTTATTTAAGAATTATTGGTTACTTCGTGTATTTCGATTCAAATCCAAATCAATATTGATTGAATTGATTTTGAAAAATTTCGTATTTTTTTCCTCGTTTCTTCCCCCCTGAATTTGTTAAATTTTTATTTTTTCCTATAGCCGAACATCCTCAGTTACAAACACCATCCAAACACACACACAGACAATTGGTTATTATTATCATCGAGAGAAATCATCATCATCATCATCATCATCATGACGACATTCATTTCATTTCAAGAGACATAAAAAGAGAAAGGAAACTTTTTTTTTGAAAAAAAAGAGGATGTAAATGCTGTTGTTGTTGATGAGAAAATCACCAACTAACCAATCAACCAGCCAGCCAACTATTATCATCATTTCAGTTTAGTTTTTTTTTAAATGAAAAGTTTTCAGGTTTTTTTTAAATGTTTTTTGTTTTTCAGCCAACATCAGCGTGCTGATGATCATCATCATTTGTTTTTGTCATCATAATTTTTCAACAACATCGGTTATCCAATCAACGTTGTTGTTGTTGTTGGTCGAACCACAAAGACAATAACAACAACAATAATGACAACAACAACAACAACTGCAGTGAAATTTTTAAAAAAAATTTTAAAACAAAACGAAAAATATTCTTCATTAATCAATAAGCTTGGGTGTGTATATATCGATTGATGATGATGGTAATGGTTTAGTCGTTCTTGATGTTCAAACATTTTCTACCATTTTCCTATTCTGAAGATTTCTGCATGTTCTTTTGGTTCTTTTCATTGACATGGTGTGTGGTGTGGTGGTGTGTTCAAACGCACTGCCCTATAGGTTATTATTATAAAGGAGGTTAGGTTCCTCGATAAGTTCATTCCAATACGAAACGAACTGAAGAAGAACAGCGAAAATATTTTTTTTTACTGCAGTGTTTAAGCTCAAATCATCAATAACTGTGTTGTGGCTCGTTTTTTCTTTTGACTTCATCGCCTATTTGTTTATTGTTTGTTTTGTTTCATTCGTTGATATTTAAGGCCATCAGAAAATCGTTGGCTGGTGAGTGACACCAACCACAACGACGGTCATTTTTTTGCTGTAACTGTATTACTAATAATAACACTTGTGGAACTCACTACCATTCAACCAACTGAAGATCGTAACTAATTCAGAATTTTTTGCCAAAAACAAAACACACATGTTGATCGAATGAAGGACGGAGTAAGCAAGTAAAATCATTCATTAATTAAGAAAATCCATTAATTAATTAACACTTCGTTTGAAAAAAAGGTGAATAATAATCATTGTTGCTTTCGTTAATTAATGTTTAACTTTTTAATTAATTAATTTTTCTTCATTACAAACAGATTTTTTGATATTATGGAAAAAACTAATAATAATCAAATAACAAATGAAAAAATTATGGATGAAAAAATGATTATCGATCTACCTCCTCATCATCATCATCACCACCAACAAAATCATCATCATCATCAAATAATAATGGCAAAATTTTCAACAAAAAATTTTAAAAAACCATTTAAAATGAGTTATCGCCGTTTATTTTCATTAATATTTTTATTATTAACAATAATCAATATTGTATCGATGGTGATTACAACAACAATTTATATGAAAAAAATGGATCAAAAAGAACAACAAGAAAAATTGAGCCACTTGATATCCGAACGTACAAATCCAACAAATCGTGATGCATATTCAATCGTTCGATTCATTTCATTCATATCATTAATAGCAAGTATTTCTATAAGGATTTTTGGTTTAATTGCCATTGGTATTTGTGGTCGTGAATTTGCATCCACTGAATTTGAATCAAGTAAACGTCGTGAATCATTTACCGGTTGTTTAACATATACATGTGCTATGATTATTTTATTAGCAGCATATTATGTTAATATTGTACGTATGGTACAATATGATTTGATTATACATTGTATTTTAACAATATTTGGTGGAATTTTTCTGGCATTTTCCCTTCAGCCTACCGATACTTATTCAAAAGAATTGAATGAATTATCAATTTGAAAAATCAATTTGGAAAATCTTACTTTTTTTTGTAAAATAAATCAAACTCGCATGCTTATAATATATTTCGAAATTCTCATTCATATTTACCATTTTTTACACATCTTTTTTGTACTTGATTTGCATTGAAATTAAACATTCTTTTTTTTTGAAAAAAAAAACAAAACAAAAAACGGAATCGGATTATTTTTGAAACGATAATATTAATAATAATGATAATAATAATCGAAACATTCAATAAAATGTTGATCAATAATTATTTGAAAGAATTGAGAAATAGAATGAAAGAAATAAAATGAAAAATTCACAGACAAATAATATCATTCGAAAAAAGAAAAAAAAATTCTTGAATAAAGAAGATTCTAATAATAATAAAAATGAGGAGGATGGCGCCATCTATAATGATGATATCAAATATTGATAATGAGATTTCTTCAAGGAAAATTCAATAAAATCTTGATATTTTTTTTTTTTGGAGGCAAAGAATTTTGTTTTGTTTTGAGAAATTCTAAAATCTTGAGGACAATAAGGCCAGATAATAATAATTTTTTTGTAGATTCGAAATTGAATTATTCAATCACTATCATATCCACCTGTTTCTAATAATGTTTTCATTGATAATTTATTTTTACGATTACGACGACGACGATTTTTTCTTTTCGATTTTTGTTTACCATCAATATTTTGATCATTTTGATCGATTTCATTTTCATATGGATTTAATTGTGAAGTTGTCATTGTTGAAGAAGACATTTCATCAGCTGATGAACAATCTGATGCCGATGTTGTTGTATCATCACAACCGCTACTACTTTCAAATGATGATGATATTGATGATGGTGATGAACAAAATGAATCAAGATCATCATTATCATTATCAACATAACGTCGTAGATTATTGATCATTGATAATCGTTGCTGTTGTCGACTTATTCGTCGATTATTGCCATCGTTATCATCGTCATCATCATCATCTTGAAGTTGTTCAAGCGATGAAATCATTTTACGAATTTCACGTTCCTTTTTTTTCTTTGCTTTTTTCTGATTTTTTTGTCGTCGGCCAAGTATACTGGATCCAGGTCGAAAAACAAATGTTGCCTGTTTATCCGAAAATGTAACACATTTTTTTGGTTTCATAAGATCATCAATACAGAAACCATCACCATTATCATCATCATCATCGTCGTCGTTGTCATCATATCCAAAACAATCCATAAGGATTCCTGGTGATTGTAATGATGATGATGATGTTCGGCCATAATAAGAACCAATACCATCATCAGCAGATATTGAACGTGAAAATATACCACTATCTGATTCGGATAATGTAAAACGTTTTGGCCATCCAGGTGGATATTTAAGTATACCACGTATTGTATTTTTCTTTTGAATATTAACTGGACGAGTTTTTATCATACGACATTGTTGCTGTTGATGTTCATGTTCGTTTAATTTTTCCTGATGATCATCATCATCATGTGATGTAGATGATGAACTTTCATCAGTCTGTTTAGTTGGACCGGTGGAATCATAATCATCATCATCATCATTATTTACATGATGATTTTCATCAATAAGTTTTTGCTGTCGAACAATGATAAGATTCTATGATTTTGGGATGGAAAAAAATAAGAATTTTTTGTCATTTGAACTTGTTAATTTACCTTGGATTTATCAATGCTGCTGATTCGTTTATTGTCGTTTGGATCTGATCGGTTTGTTGTTGTTGTTGCAAGACAAATATCTTTATTGTCAACAATTAAATCAATTAATTTATGATTATTTTGTTCAATTGAATGATTAATATAATGATTTTCTTTGGAATTATCATTAAAATTTGGCATAATTAAATCAAAATTAAAAGAAATTTTTTGAAGAATTTTTCAATCGAAATTTGGGTCGGCTTATTGTGTGTGTATACATAACTCAGACGATAAGAAAAAAAAACACCTTGAATATTGAAGAGGAGGGGAGGGTGAGCATTCGAATTTTACTGACAGTGAGTTTGAAAGGAGGAGCTAAATGAAATTGAACCAAATTAATACATTGAAAGTAAATGGTTTCGGTTTAAATCATGGTATTAACAAAATAAATTTTTCAAATCAGATTTATCAGGTTTTTTTTTTGCTGTTTGTTTGATGTGGATCACCAAAAACAAAGTGATGTGATCAGGATTTTCACATCAGGCTTCATACAATGATCTGATCAAAAGAAAAACCTGATTATCCATCCTAAACCAAGTAGAAATCAATCACATCATTCAGACCAAAATCAAAACCAAACAAAAACAAAAAAAAACAAGTAAATTTCTTTTATAAACATTCAATTCATTTATCATGATAAACTAAGCTAAATCAGAAAAAGAAGAAATTTTTTTTTTGAAAATTGCAACAAAATTGGTTGGAGAAAAAAAACCGCGACAAAATCGAATCTTTTCATTGATCATATGATGTCATGACAATTTTTTTTTGGTTTAAGCGCATGGCCAATTCGAACAATTGAAAAGAAAAAGAAGGCTTTCTTTCGATGATTTATAATTCCATTCGGTGGTTTTTTGTTTTGTTTTTTGTTTTCTGTTCAGCACTGCAGTATTTCACGTTGGCAGAATTTATTGGAAAAAGACGAAAAAAACTTCACCACTTCATCATCATCTTTGTTTGATGATTGATCGATTGATGTTTGTTACCATAACCACGATCATCATCATCATCAAATAATCATCGACCACGACCAATTACCACTTTTTTTTACCTCAAAAGTTTTTCTGTTCCAAAAACAAGAGCATTGAATCCTGGCCCTAGGTTTTTGTCTGCTGTTGCTAGGCCCATATTTTGTATTATTATGTGTGTTGGTTGGTCATAGCAAAATCACCACCGCCACCTTTATATCAGTTTGTTGACAGGTGATTTTTGAGTGATCATTTTTCTTCTGGCTTGGTTCGAAAAAAGCCCAACGAACAAATCAAAAATTGAATAAAAATGTTACTTTTTTTAAATAAATTTCCACATCATCATTATCATCATCAATCAATAACATCTTCTTGTCGTAGATATTTCATTACTACAAGCCGAAAACAATGTCAACAACAAACAAAACAGCAACAACAGAAGCCGGCTGAACAGATAAAATCATCAACAACTACTACTACGTCTACTGGTTTAAGTTATAAAAATCTTAAAATTGGTAAGTTAAATAAACATTTACATTTTGGCTTATCGCAATTGATTTCGATTGATTGATTCATTTTCTTTTCTTTTTTTTGCAAAGGCGTCCTAAAAGAAACATTCAATAATGAACATCGTGTTGCAATTGTACCATCATCGGTATCATTATTTGTTAAAAAAGATATAAAAATATTGGTCGAACAGAATGCCGGATTAGAATCAAAATTTTTAAATTCCGATTATGAATCAAAAGGTGCTAAAATTGTTGATCGTAAACAATTATTTTCCGAATCGGATATCATTGTAAAAGTTCGTCCACCATCATTTGATATTGAAACAAAATTGTTTCGTAATGAATCAACTTTGGTTAGTTTTTTGTTTCCAGCACAAAACAAACAACTAATCGAACAATTAGCATTAAAACGTATGAATGTTTTTGCTATGGATTGTATTCCACGTATTTCACGTGCACAAGTTTTTGATGCATTAAGTTCAATGGCTAATATTGCCGGGTAAATATTATTGATTTTGATTCATAATAAGATATTCATTTAGTTTTTTCTGGCTATAGCTATAAAGCTGTCATTGAAGCAGCAAATCATTTTGGTCGATTTTTTACCGGTCAAATAACAGCTGCAGGTAAAATTCCACCGGCAAAAATTCTAGTTATTGGTGGTGGTGTTGCTGGCCTATCTGCTATTGGTACGGCTAAAAATATGGGAGCCATTGTTCGTGGATTTGATACACGTCCTGTGGTTAAAGAACAAATTGAATCACTTGGTGCAGAATTTTTAGAATTAGATTATAAAGAATCGGGTGAAGGTCATGGTGGTTATGCAAAAGAAATGTCCAAAGAATTTATTGAAGCTGAACATCGTTTATTTTATCAACAATGTAAAGATGTTGATATTATTATATCGACAGCATTAATACCTGGAAAACGTGCACCAATATTGATTACAAAAGATATGATTATGTCAATGAAACCTGGTTCGGTTGTTGTTGATTTAGCCGCTGAAAATGGTGGTAATATTGAAACAACTAAACCGGGTGAAATTTATACACATCAACCATCAGGTGTTATACATATTGGTCTTACTGATCTACCATCACGTTTACCAACACAATCATCAACATTATATTCAAATAACATTTCCAAATTTTTATTATCAATTTCCAAACATCAAGATTCATTTGATATTAATTTAGATGATGAAGTTGTTCGTGGATCAATTGTATTGCATAATGGTAGATTACTTTGGCCACCACCACCACCACCGATTCATACACCAACAACAACCACCGATAAAACTATAGAAGCTAAGCCATCATCAACTGATACCAAAGTTATGGCCGCACCACCCAAAGAATTATTACCTCGTGATTATTTTCAACAAACACTTAAAACTGCTTTGATCTATTCGGGTGGTCTTGGATCATTGATTGGTTTAGGATCGATAGCACCGAATGCTGCATTCACAACAATGGCAACAACATTTAGTTTGGCTGGTATTGCTGGCTATCATACTGTTTGGGGTGTTACACCTGCTTTACATTCACCACTTATGTCGGTTACTAATGCTGTATCCGGAATTACAGCTGTTGGTGGTTTACTTTTAATGGGTGGTGGTATAGTTCCCGAAACATTACCACAAATTCTTGGTGCAACAGCTTTAACCATTTCAACTGTTAATATTGCTGGTGGATTTTTAATTACACAACGAATGTTAGACATGTTCAAACGTCCAACAGATCCACCAGAATATAATTATCTTTATGCTATACCGGCAGCCACATTTACTGGTCTTTATGCTATGGCAGCATTGAACGGTATGGATCATGTGCATCAAATGGCCTATCTTGGTGCTTCGCTTTGTTGTGTTGGAGCATTAGCCGGACTTAGTTCACAGAAAACGTCTCGACTTGGTAATGCTCTGGGTATGATCGGTGTTACCGGAGGTTTGGCAGCCACATTAGGACTAATGAATTTAACACCTGAATTATTAACACAAATTGGTGGCTGTATGACTGGTGGTGGTTTGCTTGGTTTGATCATAGCTAAAAAATTAGAAATTACCGATCTACCACAATTGGTTGCAGCATTTCATTCATTAGTTGGTTTAGCTGCAGTTCTTACCTGTTTTGCAACATATCTTCATGATTTTCCAACATTAGCAACTGATCCGGCTGCTATGACCATCAAGACGGCTTTGTTTTTGGGAACATTTATCGGTGGAATAACTTTTAGTGGATCATTGATTGCGTAAGTGTAGTTTTTGCAATAATTTTTTTTCTTTCATTTTTACTGATATTTATTCATTTTTCATTGTAGCTATGGTAAACTTCAAGGATTACTTGATTCAGCACCAACATTATTACCTGGCCGACATGTAATCAATTCAGCAATGATGTTAGCTAGTGCAGGTTCAATGGGTTATTTCTTAATGGATCCATCCAAAATGGCTGGATTATCTTCATTAGGTACGGCTACAGCTTTATCAACAATTTTAGGTGTTACATTAACATCGGCTATTGGTGGTGCCGATATGCCTGTTGTGATTACCGTATTGAATAGTTATAGTGGATGGGCATTATGTGCTGAAGGTTTTATGTTGAACAATAATCTAATGACTATTGTTGGTGCATTGATTGGATCTAGTGGTGCTATTCTTTCGTATATTATGTGTAAGGTATGTAATCTCTCGCTCGATTTTTCTCCGAATTTCCATTCTGATAATCTAATTTTGTTTTTGAATGAACATCATTTTTAGGCCATGAATCGTTCATTACCGAATGTTATTCTTGGTGGATTTGGTCAAACTGGTTCAACATCTACTCGTGCCATTACTGGTACACATACCGAATGGAATGTTGATCAATCTGTTGATGCTATTAAAGATGCTAAAAATATTATCATTACACCTGGTTATGGTTTATGTGTAGCTAAAGCACAATATCCATTGGCTGAAATGATTCAAGTGCTACAAAAACAGGGTAAAAATGTACGTTTCGGTATACATCCTGTTGCCGGAAGAATGCCTGGTCAATTAAATGTATTATTAGCTGAAGCTGGTGTACCATATGATATTGTTTTGGAAATGGATGAAATTAATGATGATTTTCCTGAAACTGATTTAACATTAGTTATCGGTGCTAATGATACAGTAAATTCTGCAGCCGAAGATGATCCTGAATCAATAATAGCTGGTATGCCTGTATTACGTGTTTGGAAATCTAAACAAGTTATCGTTATGAAACGTAGTCTTGGTGTTGGTTATGCTGCTGTTGATAATCCAATATTTTTCAATCCAAATACGGCTATGTTATTGGGTGATGCTAAAAAAACATGTGATGCATTATTGAATCGTATCAAAGAATCATATTCCGATTAATTAATTAATTCCTTTTTATTTTATTTTATTTTTTCTATCTAATTTTTCTTCTGGTGTAATACGCACACTTTTTTTTATTATTAAAGAAATTGAAAAAAGTAAATAAACAAATGGTTTTTACTTGAATTTTATTTTAAAATTTTTTCCAAAAAAAAAACATCACATCTCAACAATCATCCGTACATTTAACACCGGTTATCGAACAAATACATATTTTACAATGATTACTTAATTCTTCGATTTGTTTATCAATTTCATACATTTTACCATAGATATTACAGCCTGTATATAGAGAAAGAAATGATCAATTAATAAATCATAATCATCATGAATTATACATACTCGATACTTGAAATATGTTTGGCATTAGATTGTTGTTGTTGTTGTTAACAGGAATCGTTGCACTTGTTGTTGTTGTTGTTGTTGTTATCAATGGTTTGGATGTTGTAGCCATCAAAGGATTGTATGTATTCGATGATAATGATGGTCTTAGGAGATGATAATCTCGATCAACCGATGATGATGATGATGATGGTGATAATTTATGTGTCGATATTGGTCGCAGCGGTGATTGAGGCCTACTTCGAAATGGTGAACTATTAGTGGTTGCCTGTTGTTGTTCCATTGGTTCAAAATTTGTTAATTTTTCATCTTTGTCATCTTTATCATTAACCCTAATAATATCATTGATTGGTAATTTTGGATTGAATTTTGTTGCCAAATTTGACCAATTTACATCTTTGATTTGATCAATCGGTGATTGTGTTATCGATGATGATGATGTTGATGATGATTTATGATAGGATGGAAAATGAACACGATTCATCGAAGGATTATTATCATTGTTATTATTGTTATTGTTGTAAAGAAATTCTAATGGATTCATTGGCATTAACATTCCATTTCGTCTTTGTGAATGATTTGTTGATGATGATAATGATGATTGAACATTGGCAATAAATTGTGGACCTCTTGATCGAATTGGTTGAAGAAAAAATGTTTCTGTCATTGATTCTTGATCCGTCGAATGGCTGATATTTGTCGAATCATCTGATGGTAATGGTGAAGCATTATTTTCCATTTGAATCGATTTACATGTATAAATTGGACAACATTGACCGGATTTTTGTTCGGCTAAACAATCCAATGAAGGAGCCGATGGACAAATATGTTGTTGACAAATTTTTTGTCCATAAAAACATCGACAATATGTACATGGATTATCATTATCACCATCATCTGGTATTGTTATTTGTTCACCATTCGAATATTGTTTACCATTGATTAAACATTTCACTTTTTCGGAATGGAAAACAATGTTTTAAAAAATTTTCAAATGAACAAATCACTTACTTTCATATGTTTGATTATTTTGATTAACATTTTTATCATCCATATCGATTCTGATCGGTTTCGGATTATCAATCTTTATTGGCATCGGTGAAAAAGCTACATTCGATTTTTCAATATCTTCTTCGGCTGTCGCTGTTGTCGAAATAGATTTTTCAGTACTGCTCACTGTTGTTGTTGTTGTTGAAATAATCGGAACAACGGAAACCGGTATGGCAACTTGATTCGAATTTGTCGAAATAGGAATTCTTGATGGAATTTTCGAACTAGTCAATAATGAAACAGCTCGCCATCCATTTGCAAATTGTGCATGTTGTTGTTGCTGTTGCTTATATGATGATGGTAGATTTGGTTGATTCATTTTATTACCACCACCAATATAATGACTTGTTAGATACCAACCGGGTAATCTACGCATTGATTTTATCAATGCATTTGCTCGACGTTTATCTACCGTTAATGTGATCGGTGTAGGTGGAAATAGAATCGAATTTTGTAATAAAAAAAACAAACAAAAAAATTACCATTTTCTTTGACATCTTTTTCAGCATCACCACCGTTATTATCATCTAATGTTGCGTTTGTTTTCGATGATGATAATGGTAATATTGTTGTTGTTGTTGTTGTGATTAAATCAACAATATCAGTTGTTGTTGTTGTTGTTTCAGATTCTTGGCCAACAATTTCCGGAACGATTAAAAATGATCCAAAAATTACGAATAAACATTTAAATGCAGCCATCCTCATCATTATTATTTTTTTACGAATGAAAATTCAACGCAAGCAAACATTAAACTGATAACTGATTCGAACAAAAAATTTTTTTTCTGATTGAATCTTTGTGTGGTTTGACAAAACAACATCCTTATGACCTTGTACTAAATTTATCTTCAAGTATTATGGGTAAACAACCAAACCAAACCAAACGAACAAAAAAAACTAGATCAACGGGAAATATGAATTCAATATGAATGGTGGATGACATTCATTTCAAATTTGTCGTCGAACTTGTTTGGTTAATCTTGATTGATATCCAAACGAAGCCACACATACACATCAATGAACGAACGAAAACTGGATTTGGCAGATTTGAATTTACGCGCAATTTTTTTTCCGCTGATACTACTGCCATAATCAATATCTAGATGGCAGTAAAATTAAAGAATTCAGGAATGAAAAATCAAAGAATTGGTTTTTTGTTTAAAGAGAATTCGCTTTTTTTATTCCGAAAATTCTGCAAAAATACAAAAGAAAAAAATATTGAGTTCGAAAATATTGAGAATCGACCAGAATCTTTATTCATTCATTTAACATTGTAATTAATGCTTGTACAACATCGCCCATTGCTTGACGAAGTTTTAATTCAGCATCAGTTTTAGATATTTCCATTTCATTCATAATTAATTCAACATCTTCACGACGAATAATAACTTTTGCCAATTCTTTTTGTCGGGCAACTTTTTCGGCAACTTCTTTCGAACGTTTACTATCGATTATCGAACGTGCTGCACCACTTATTTCGGTAGAATCATTTTGTCCTTCTTCATCAAAAAAACTTGCTTCATATGTTTGAACTTTAGCTAGATCGGCTGCACCAGAATCATGTTTACCAATAATTTTTTTCGATTTATTTGATGAATCTTCATCTTCATCAATTTCTTCATCTTCATTATTATTATTAGTATGGCTATTTTCAATTATTTTATCATCTTTATCGATCTGCATTTTTTCTCTTGAATTCGATTCAAACAACAAATAAATACGATGAATTCAATTTGAATTTTTGAAAAAAAATGAAAATTGAAAAACAAAATCAAAGAATTTCGGAGATGTTTACCAAAAACAACATGTTCCATTCATTCATAAACAACGTTCTCTTGGTGATTTAAATTTCAAACAATAGATGGCTCTTCTCATTCAAATTCTTATTCGAATCGAACGATAATTATCACTTTGTTGGCTACCATCCAATTTCTCTTCAAGAATTCGACGTTTTTCAACATTTCGTAATTGCATATTGAAATACGAATAGCATCGTATCAAATTGACAATGATGAAGAAGATTAGAAAACGATTGTCGACAAATGAAATTGAATATTTATGAACGACAACAACAACAAACAAACAAACAAATTGGAATATTGCGTGTCCAAAAAATGAAATGAAATGTACCATAAATAAAATGATAATCAAATAATGACAACAAAAAAAACGACCATTTTGTTGTTGTTGTCATTATTTGATTTCCGTTACATGGACATTCTCACATTCTCTCATCATCTATCGTCTCGTTATCACTCTCAAATACCGTATACAAAAAATGTAAATGAAACAAAACTCATTTGTCGTTGACAGTGGATTGTCAGGGGGATGTTCGGGATGGTTGGCTGGTTGGTGTGACACATTATCATCATCATCATCGACATTTTTTGTTGTTGTTGGTGGTTACATTTGAATGAATATTCAAGAGTAGAAAATTTTGAAAGAAAAATATTGTCACGCAAAACATTAACTAACTAACTAAATAGCTAAGTATAGCCATTTCATTCATTTCTTTTGATTTGATTTTTTGAAAATGTAACACTTGGGTTTCTTTCTCTTCCTCTATAGAGTTGACATCATCATCATCATTGTCGAAAACAAAAAACACACTTTGTCGTACAGAATTTTTTCGATTGTTCCGTAACAACAACAACAAAATTCTAGCAATTTGCTCGTTCACTCGCTCGATATATATAGCCACACCATTGTCAATTTGGCGTTAACGTTTCAATTTAATTCGACAAAAAATCGAATGGAATTCAATGTTTCGAATGTTAATGACCTCGTGAATGTCACCACCATCATTAATTATGCCAAATGAATCATCATCATAAAATTCTTGAGAAAATCTTTGTTTTTTCTATCGAAAACAAAAGAATATTGCCTATTTTGACTTTACATGGTCGATTCGATTGATGGAAGAATTGAATCAATTGGATGATGAAAAAAAAATAAACGAAGAAATACATCATTGATTTCAACGTTATCATCATCATCATATCATGGGTGTCAATTAAACCAAACGATAAAAAAACAAGCACCAAAGATGAAAAAAATATATATTTTACAAACATTTACGACCAAGACGACGACGATGGTGATAATGATAATGATAATAACCTGGACACGAACAACACGGTTTGATGATGATGATCATCATTCTGATAATTAAAGGCTCGAAGGCTTCTTCTGGCCAATGTATCGACGACGACAACGACAACAACGTTTGACATCATTTAAGAGCAAGCAAACAGAAAATTGTCATTCGATTCTGATTATTATCATTATCATTTGATTCATTTAATCATTTCATTTTGTTCACAAAATAATTCAGGAAGGCGCCAAATATAAATCTTTTCATGTCAAATTGTCAAATTATAAAAAAAGAAGAAGAAGAAAAAACATTCATTTTGGTTGTTGTTGTTATTATCGGTCGACAAAATGATAATGATGAGAAAGAAATTAAATTAAATACAAGCAAATGTAGTTAGCAAGTTTGTTTTTTTAAAGATTTTTCCTTCTGATCAATAATAAAGATAAGTGGATTTTTTTCTTTTGGTGACCGGTCAATAAAAAATTTCTGCTTGATTTGGTTTTATTTACATCTAATTTGGTTGGTGACATGATGATGATTTTTGGATGTTTGAAAATTTATTGGTCATTCAACGACGACGACGACGACGATTGATGATCGTCGAACGAACGAAAAAGACAACTGATAAGGTAATGATTTCTGTTTGAAAGTTTTTTTTTTATTATTTTAAATTAAATTAAATTAATAATAATTACACAGGTTGGCGTCAATTGATTCGATTGATTTGATTGGCGATAATATCGATAAACTGAGAAAAAGGAAAGAGGGAAAATGTTGTTTTCTTGGGCGACAAGATTGTACTGATCATATACGGAATTTATGAACGGTATGTGTGTTTAGTTTCTATTTTTACTTTACTAATAAGAAAAATTTACAACAAATGTTAAAATAGTTAGTGATAATGGATTAATAATATATGAGCTGCACGAATCAATCGAAATCAAATCAATCAATCAATCATTGATTGGATCAAATAATGAATAAAGTAAGAATTACAAGGGAATTTCTCTTCTTCTGCTGCTAAATTGAATTGGACATTATTTAGGATATCGAAAAAAATCAATAAATCAAAAATCAATGTTTGGACTCTCGAAAATGGCACACCCTAATTGATTAAATTAAAATTTTAAAATTTTTTTTCGAATGAAATCAATAGATATTGGAGAGATAGAGAGATTGTAGTTGATTGATTGATCAATGAATAAATCAATCAATCAAAGAGATCGGTAGTTGAATTAAGTAGTGGCTGCAATACTTTGCTGCTGTTGTCCATTGTTGTTATTATTTTGTTGTTGTTGTTTTTGTTTCGATTGTTGTTGTTTTGATTGTTCCAAACCATCAACCATTAATTGAATATTTTTCAATTCTTTTAATGATTCTTTAACTGATGGACTTTTATCAATAGCATTATGATGATTATTCATAAATGACGTTATCGATGCGGTTGATGATGCGGATGATGTTGATGATGATGGTGATACTGGTTGCGACGATGTATGTTGTTGTTGTTGATGATGATGACTACTACGTATAATACTATTCGGTGTACTTGCATTACTACATCGGCCATCTAATTGACCACCACCAACACTACCATTACTTGAATTTGATCTAGATAATATTGGTGATGATGGACAATTCATTGATGAGGTATTTTTTGACTGTTTTTTTTGTTGTTGATAATCAAGATTATCATTATCATCACTTCTAGGACTAATGGCTAATTTATTATTATCAAGATTATTAAAATGATTTGCTGTTGCTGATGATGATAATCGATTCGAATCGATACTACCGATACCTAATTCGCCCATCATTTGTCCATTCTGTATTTGATTATTGCATTGGGATAAAAATGGACGAATACCATATGGAAAGAATCTTGAACTATGATTTGTTATTAATGATGATGGTAAATTTGTTGCGGTTGCTGACGTTCCTTTAAAACGTTGATTCAATGTTTCATGTAATTGTAATAAATCTCTACCTTGTTCCAGTTGTTCATTCAATGATAATAATGATAATGTTGAAAATTTTGATGAATCTTGTGCTGCTGGTGAATTTATTGCGGTTGATGATGACGTTGGTGTTGTTGATGCCGACGCTGTTGTTGTTGCTGTTGCGGTCAATGCTCCAGCAACAGTATCCGTAGTCATCATTGCGTCCAAAATTGATGTTTGTTGTTGTGCAACATGTCCATCACTAAATGCACCAAAATAAGCATTCAACATTGCACGTGGATCAAAATTTTTTAAATCAAAATTATCATAATTCATTGATGTGGATGATTGAAATCTTGAAAAATCCATCAATGAATTTGGTATACCATTGAATGGATGTTGAAAAAATGATGTTGAAAATTGATTCAATAATGGATTTGTTGTTGATGATAAACTGCTAGTAGTGGTGGTAGTAGGTGTCGTTGACGATGATGTCGTTGATGTTGACAAAGTGGTAGCGGCAGGGGTAGCCCATGGAACAAAATTTGATAATCTTGAATGGTGATTTGATGGATCATGATCAATCGATCCACCACCACTAACACTACCAGCATGTAAAAATGGATTTGTTTGTGGATAAAATCTTGAAAATAATGATGGAAAACCATATGCAGCAGCTGTTGCTGCAGCTGATAATAATCCATTTGTTGTTGTTGTTGCTGATGCTGTTGTTGATGAATTACCGGTATTATAAAATGATGCTAATTGGCTATTAAAATGTTCAGGATTAATTGATGCAGCAGCAGTAGGAAAACCAGCAGCAAATGCTGCAAATGCCATTGCAGCTGCATTTGTTGTCGTCGTCGTCGATGTTGTTGTTGATGCGGATGATGATACGGATGTTGTTGATGTTGTAGAATTAGATGCAGTTGATGATGATGAAAGACCAAGTATAGAATTGGACATTGCTTGTAATGAATGAACATCTTTAAGTAAATCTGGAATGAAGGGAAAAAACGAGAGAAGGAAAAAGAAAATTAGTTATCCATGACAAAACAAAACAAAATGCATCATTCATTATCATTATCTGCCATAATCATCTAAATTTAGATTTATATGGATGATGATGATAATTTACAAACAAACAAATATTTAGATTCTTGAAGCAAGAAAAAAAAGAAATTAATGGTTATTATGGTTATTATGGCGATTATGATCATGATAAGGAAGGGAAAAATGAATTGAAGATATTTTCCTATTCAATGATGGTGGCCCTTGGATTTAAGATGACGAAGACTACGACCGCACAAGATGTGCAATCTGACACCTCTCTCTCTCTCTCTCTCTCTCTCTCTCCCTCTCCCGGTATTTATCTATATTAAGAAAACATTATTTGTCGTCACTAAATAGAAGAAAAAAAAAACATTTGAATGAATGAAATGAAATTGGCGGCAATCATCATTGTCTATGGCCGCTATCAGTTATGGTTCGAAAGAATTAATTTTTTTTTTGGTTTTTGGTCAGGCGACAAATTTGCTGTTTCGAAATTTCTTGGGTTTTGTCGTCATCGTCGACGACGACGACTGTCTTCAGTTTGTTTTGGTAGACAGGATTTGTTGAATGCTGTCGCCGGTTGATGATCCGTTGAAAAGCCGAAAAACTAACTGACAACAAAAAACAACAAAGATTTTTTTGTTGTTTTCAGCTTAAATAAACAAAAAAACCCAAAAGAAGCCGACAATGATTTTGACAAAAAAAAGCTTGTTTCCTAAATTGTCACACACAGTCTTTGTGTGTGTGTGGTCTATAAAATGTTACATAACCAACAGAATTAGAAATTCTTTAAAAGAATCGAAATTTTAATACAGAATCGAATCTATAATCTATGAATATGATGGCTACGGAAATTGATGATTGCCTTCTGAATTCAAAACTGGCGGGAGATTATATTACCTTACAAAAATACACAAGGTACCAGGATCAATTAGCTAGATTCGATTACATGGCACGCAAAAACTAAAAACACACAGAACCAACGCCCTTGAAGTAAGTCATGGCCAGATGATAAACAAATTCACTTTTTTTCGTTTTCGTAATTATAGATCATCATCATTTTCTGAAGATAATTTTCATGTCAAAATTTTTTGGACTTTTTTCTCTCTCTTTCTTCATTGACTGACTGAGCTAAACTGAACTGACCATAAATGATTATTGCATGTCAAAATCATCATCATTCATCGATGAACGATGATAACCGTGTGCACTTAACTGCCACGTGTCTACATTGTTTACGTTGTCTGTTTGTTTTATTTACCTGATTTATTTTGTTTCAATAAATGTTGCTGTTGTTGTTCGATGTTGTTGACAGATGTTTTCATTAATGAATCAAGACCAAAAAATTTTTGCTGTCGATAATCATTCGATGTTGATAAATGATCATTAAATATTGATTGGCTACCATTTTGCTGTTTAGTTGTAGATGGCGGTGGTTGTGGTAAATTATCATCATCCATATCATCCATTATATCGATACGACATTCTTCATCATCATCATCATCGTTATCATCGATACTATCGATATTATCAGTATCGATATCATCACCACAATCAGAATTTGATGTTTTGTTTGCTGTTTTCGTTCGTATTGATGGTGATGGACTTGATTTATGACGATATTTATGATCAGAATGATGATGAAAATGATGAGATAAGGTAGATGATTGGGGTGGTGGTGGAAGATGATGATGATGACCATTTAGAAGATAATTTGATGGCGCTGGTGGCGGTAATGTACTATGAGGATGATGATGATGAGAAGGAGGATGATGTGAAAGATGATGATGCGGATGATGATGGCTATATGAAGATCCACCACTACCACCACCTGATCCGGTATTCGATCCTAATGACATTAATGAATTTCTGTTCAAACAATGGAAATCAATAAATCAGAAATCAAAGGATTCAATCAATCAAATGGAAAAAAAACAAAAAAACATACTTTTTTTCACGTTTACCAGCACCAGTTTCACGAAAACCTTTGGCAAATGGATTATTATCAATTTTAAGTCTTGTTATCTAAAATAAAGGGTTGATTGAAAACAAATTGAATGGGTTAAAGGAAACCATAGAAAATTATTGTTATTATCGGAGACAAAACAAACAAACATGAAACGAAACATGAAATATTACAAACCTTTTCATTTTGATATGCTGTAACAGCAATAAATTCAGTTTCTTTAAAAACATATGTACGAAATGTACTATATGGTAATTTTAATAGATCATTTGCACGGACTAGATGAAAACGTGGCTGATATTTATGCATTGAATTTAATATTGTCTATAATTTTGCAAAGGATTCTCCATTAGCAATCCGAAAAAAATACATTGCATTGTGAATACTTACAAAACCATGTTTATCAGCAATATTATTAGTTAATTTAAGTTTATGAAATGAAACAACTTTTTGCATCCATTGTTCACCAGTGGATGGTGAATCTGGATGTATATACATTCGTTTAGGCATTTCTGGATCTGCTTTACCAGCCATAACCCAACGTGAATTATGAAATTTATAACGACAATCATCAGCAGCAACAATATCCATTAACATTATATATTTGGCTTTTTTATCCAAACCCGAAACACGTATACGAAATGATGGAAACATTCTTTATTTTGGATGGAAAAAATGAAGGAAAAATTATTAGTTAAAATCAAAACAAAAACTTTATTTTTTTCACAATCATTCTATATAGAGTCAAAAATGTTTCTATTTTCATCCAGCCATGCTATTGAACTTTCATGGAGAATCAAGTTTCGCTTGTAAAGCAAACTCAGTTTTCCAAAAAAAAAAAAAAATTCTTTGCGTCCTTCATTTTACTTCCTTGACGGCAAAGATCAATACCACTACCACCACCACAATCATCACCGCTATCGATAAATTCAATTTCTCAATGACGCCCTGATCAATCGATCGATATTGAAGTGAAACAAAAAGTAAATAAATAAATAAAAAAAACTTTCTCGGAAAAAAACCAAAACACTATTTATGGAAAATATTTTCCGAAAGAAAGAACCATTAATGTTAATATAGTGTTTTATTTGAAACTTTTTGCGTTCAATGGCTAAACACCATCAGCCAGCCAAACAATGATTATTACCATTATTATCAATAACAACAAAAAATGATAAAATCTTGCTGTTGTTGTTGTTGTTAAGGCCCAACAACAACAACAACAACAAGAAAAGAATGGAAAAACATTTTTTTCCGAGTTTCATTCATAATCCTCTTATATTCATTATACAACAACAACTTTTTTGTTTCCTTGCTGTAACTGTACGAAAAACAAAGATTTTTGTTTTTGAGTTTTTGCTAAGGGATTTATGAATGAATGACTGGCTGAATGTAGTGGAGAAAAAAAAAATCTCTGACCGCCAACTTTTCGTTATTTCTATTTTGCTATTTTGACAAAGATCTGTTAAGGTTTTGATAATAATAAAAAACACCCTTCTTCTTTACTCATTCATTTATATGAATAGTAATGATAGATTTGGATGAAAATAGTCGACAATGATGATTATTATGATTATTAATGTAATCAATTGAAGATTGTGAATGTAAAACATAATTTTTATGTTTGAAAATAATAATAAAAAACATAGGCTCGTCCGGTTTTTTTGTTACGTTTTCCCAAATGGATTTTATCTTTCTCTCTTCGTGTGTTTATGCCCTCATCAACCATAATAACTTTGGAAACGCAAACACAATATGGTGGCCGGTAAAAAATGTGAAATGAAAATAAAGGCCCGGTGTGTGTGTGTGTGTGTGAATAATAATGATTGACAACAGCACACACATACAGGCAATGTTTTTTGGGAACTTTTCTCTCTCCATCTCTCTCTCCAACTCACTCACAATGATGATGATTGATAATAATCATTGAAAATGATTCACACGCTTCACCCAACTAAACAACAACAACAACAATGTACAATGTTCCAGGAACACTTTTTTGGAAACATTTCCACATTTCTCTCTCCATTCTGCTCTCTTTCCCGGTTATTATTATTATTATGATTATTATCATTATAGGTTTGAATTTCATATTTCAGGGGTGTTTGTTTCATTATGATTTTTTGTTCAGGTGAGTCATCATTGAACGAACCGAAGAGAGAGAGAGAGAGAGAGAGAGAAAGTGTATAGATTTATTGTTGTTAGAAAAAATATTATTAATGGAAAAAAATCATAATAATAACCGCATATACGGTTATTATTATAGTCATCATTATTATTATTATCATCAAATATTGTCGGTGTCAGTCAGTCAGTCAGTCATTCGTTCGATGAATGTGTGTGTGTGTGTGAATAAAATGAATGGATATTTTCGAAAAACATACATATTGAGGAAGGGGGGCGAAAACAAACAAAAAATCATTATTTTTCGCATTTCCCCCCACCACCACCAAATACGGATCACTCCTTTTTTCTTTCTTTCTTTGTTTTCTGTTTGTATTCAGTTTGAATGAAACTGTTCCAAATGGATCAAACGATGGATACAAACACAAAGAGTGAGTGAATGAAGGACATATAAAATACATTTATTGTTGACAAAATGTGTTTTGTTTTGCTTGTGAAGTGAAATATGATGAATTTTGGAGAAAAAAAAGATATAATAAGATTTGAGTGAAATCAAATTAAAATTGCTTCTTTTTTGCTTTTGTTTTCAAAGTTGAGTTCAATCATTGAATTCAATTTTCCCATCCATGTTTTCAAATTCATATATAATCATTGATTTGAGCATGCGCAATTTTTTGGGAAACATTTTGCGATTTCGGGACTTGTTCAAAAGACAAACGAAACAAACAACAAAATCTATAATTCAATTATGATCATCATCAGAGTTTTTCATTTTGGATTCATTTTTTTCAACCAAGAAAAAAACAAAACAAAACGAAGAAAATATAGATCAATAAGATAAGATGCGAATGATGATGATGATGAGTTTCTTCAGCAAAAAAAATACTGAATCTTCTTCACTAAAAACACACATACCAACCAAATATCCATCCCAACCAATAATATTCAAACTGATTTTGTTTGGCTGCTGTTTGTTGTATATGTGGGGATAGTCCTTTTATTTTTGAAAGTGAGAAAAAGAGAGAGAGAGAGAAAGAAATGTATGTATGTACAGTGTACATATGTGTTTATGAATAGAAGCGGTCGAAGGCGTTAATTTTCACACCTCGAATAGTGTGTGATGAAATAAGCCAATCATATGGCAGTTTTGCAAAAAAAAAAAAAAATCAATAGGATGATTTAGGTTAAAACCTATAACACCATGATGATGATGATGCTGAAAAATATTCAAAAAATTATTAATCTTTTTTTTCCCCTATAATCATTTGTTGTTGTTGTTGTCGATTACATCATTAGATTTTGAAAAGAAAAAAATTTTCTTTGTTTAGTGTTGCCACTATTTCTACTTTATCGGTTGAAGATAATGAATGTAACCCAGCCAAACTAAACATCTGTCAACAGCCATTCATTCATTCATTCATTCATTTAACAAAATTTGAGTTCAATAAACCAAGCAAAAATTCATTTCATTTCATAAAAACGATGCGGTTTTGTCATTGTCATTGCCTTCGTTTGTTACTAGTTTTAATCAAATTAAGTTTTTTTTTTGGTTACAAATTTGACAAACAAACTGAACCAAGCTGAAAACCATTTTCTATATTGTCAAATACAGTAATATCCCTAGTAATATCTTAGGTCTAATTAATCAAATTGGATCAAACAACAACAACAACAACAGAAATAAACGTTTATGGCTAGTGAATGTATCTGATGTTTATCGTTTAAATTTTACATTTTTGGTTCACTGAATTCGGCTTTTCTGCTTGCTTTTCAAACAGAATTTGTTTCATTTTTCTATAGCTAAAAATGAATTGAATTTAACAAAAATTGAACGAAAATTTTCAATTGGTTTTTCCTCTGTTTTGGACACTAATAACATCATCATCAATGGACGTCGCCATTGACATAAACCATAGATTGAATTGAAAAAAGGGCGAATGATCAATGTACCATGAAACAAAACGAAACTACAAAACTAAAATAAAATAACAAACTGGCAATATCCTCCCCGAGTTGTAAAACATGAAACAACCAGCAGCAGCAGCCATATACATTTCTCTCGCTTGCTGGCTATAAATTTTTTTTTGTTTTTTTTTTGACAAAATGAAAATGAAAAAATGAAAACACCAACCAACCAACCAACCAAACCCGAAACCAGAAATAACATACACAAACACACACTGTGGATATAGCGAGCGATTCGTTCAAGCGAATTTTGATGTACATACATAGGATATATGGGGTAATGTAATGTAATGATGGTTATTTGCTGCTGTTTTTACTCGAAACAAAAAACTATCCATTTTTTCGAGTGTTTTTTTGCTGTTAAGTGATGTGTTTTGCTTGCTTGCTTGCTTCGTTTTGTTTCGATCACCAACCACTTTTGTCAATTTGTGAACAATATCCATACATACACAAAAACAAATGACAACCGAGGCCAACAAACAAATGATTGGGCTCAATTACATAATAAAAATAGCCTCATGTAAAAGTCACAAACTGGCAATAAAGTATATTGGGTTTTTTTATGATGATGATCCAGTTTCGATAACCAAAAAAAAAAAAAAATGATTTTCAGTTTTTTCTGGTTTGATTTTGTAATGGATTGGTTTTATATTTATGGAAATTGGTTAGTTTTTGATTTGACTGGGTTTTTAGTTTTGACCGGGTTACACCCTTATATAGACACTTTTCAATTGAAATAGGACAAAAAAAAGGTCAATTTAGTAAATGACCATCATTGCCTTTAGTTTTCCCTTCCAAAAATATGTTTTTTGGAATGTCATACATTAATCAATCAAATCATGCTGACCAGTTGATGATGATGATGATGATGAGGAAAAAGGAAATTTAAATCTCTCTCTCTCTCTCTCTCTCTCTTTCTCTCTCTCTCTCTGTGTGTGTGTGCGTAGATCAAATTCAATTACGAATAATGGCAGCAACAAAAAGCCAATTTGAACCAAAGGAAACAATCAAAAAAATGAAAATGACCGGGGCAATCAAAAATGAAAATACCCGAATCAATTTGTCAAATGATATTGATGACAAGTAATTTGGCAAAAATCTCGCTCTCTCTCTTTGCCTAAAAACATTATTTTTGATTATTGATTCATCACCCCTGTGTGACATATTGAGTTTCAAACATTTTTCATTTCATTTTCTCGTCCGTTGATCACATTCCTGACGCATGACACACACATGCTTTCCATAGGCAAACAAAGATATTTACCGATCGACCAACCGAGCGATACAAGTGGCAATTATCATCACCGTCATCATCGATTATGTAATTGATGAAATTGCCGCCGTCAACATCATCAGCAACATCAACAATCATGACCGCCGCATCATCATCATCGAAACGAAAAGATCAAAGGCAAAATGTTTGTTTTGTTTTGAAAATTGATTCCAGTGATGATGATGATTCGGCAAACATTGATTGTTATGAATGGTAAAACAACAAACCGAAACATCGATGATGATGATGATTGAAAAGAGAAAAATAGAGCGGTCAAAGTACAAAGTATACAA